GAATTGAGATAAACCGGTTCTTAAAGCAAATATCCAGGCCAAATTTGCCGACACGTCATTTGCCATCTGTAAGCTTTGATAATGTTTCTTTTCCTCTTTTTCTTCTCCATTAAAAGCCCTTATCGTTTTAATAGCGGAAAGGGCGCTTTCTAATATATTACCAGCTTGAACGAATATATCGCGCTCTTGTTCTATTAATGGATTAGATTTACGAGAAGTATAAGCTAATATAAGAAATAACAATGGCATGGAGGCGAAGATCACGAGCGTAAGTATAGGATTTTTAATGAATGCTACTATGAAAGTGCTTATGGCCGTGACGAGATATTGTATAAAGTACCCTAATTGTTCAGAAATTACGTTCTTTATGTCTTCGGAATCTTTATTCACACCAGTTAATAATTCCCCTGAAGTTACATCATCTCCTTCATAATATGCTATATCCATACTTAATAATGAACTGAAATAAACTTGTTTCATCTTTTTAGATTGCCTTTCTCCTGTCCACATCCAAAATATTATCATCAAACTGGTAAATGCAAAGGAACCCACTCCCACCATTGAAAAATATAATACGAGAACATTTATCCTTTGATCAAAAATTTGAGTTGTTATAAAACCTTTTTCTTTATCCGTGAATGCGTCAAAGATGTCACCTAGTAATAATGTCATGATTGGAACTAATAAACCGCTTAGCACGCTAAAAAATATTCCCAAGGTCATTAAAATATAGTCGAATGGTGTCGCAAATCTGAAAATGTGAAAAAATGAAGTTGTTGTGATAATCAATGGTGGTTTTTGTACTGGTTTATAAATCGATTTTTTTCTCTTGCTATTATATCGTTCAGCGATTTGTTCTTCGGTGAGAGATTCGTCGTAAGATACTTTATTCGGCACATCGTTTTCATCAAGGGCTATTATTTCCGGTATCGATGAAATATTTTTCGATATTATAATGTCAGGTATTTCAACTAGCGTATCATTAGTTGAATTACTCGTGACAGATAGTATTGTATCTCTATTATCAGCATCATTTATGAATTTTGGTGGTGTGTTACTAACAATTATTTCTTCTATCACATCATCGTGTAATAGATCGGTCATATTGATATCGATAAGTTTTTTGTAAATAAAGGAAAAAAAAAATTATTTTAGAATGTAAAAAAATATATATAAAGAATTATACACCACTATCAAAGTGGTTATGTATAAGATAAATAAGAATGAAAAGGAAAAAAATAAAAAGGAAAAGGAAGAAATAAAAAATTTCAATCAAGAGGTGAGGGTAGTGAAACAAACACAACTTTTACGATTAAGGTTTATCATAATGCTTTTATCCTGCCAGGAACATATCATTACTAAAAAAAGATCACTCCCTTTTTTTCATCTTAAAAAACAATACCAAGATGATATTGTTATACCCTTCTTATTCTCCTAATACATCCCTATAAATTAAAAAAGGTAATGATCATAACGTTACATTAATTTCCATTTTACGACATCTTGCGTTTTTTTTTTTATATACGTGGGAGATCATTTATGACATAAATTAGGTTAACAATAGTTAAACGCCCGATTTGAAAATTGTACTTTCGAGAATTCATGCCGGAGATATTTTTAGTTTTGTAATTATCATGATCATTTCAGGTTAGAATGACACTAGTATTGTATATATATACAGTTTATTATAACAATAATCTCTAAAAATAAATCAAATAAAATAGGGTTTCCGTTTGAAAATAGAATATTTGGATATTTGTTTACAAATAAAAGAAAAAAAAAATATTCGGAAATTTGATTATCTTGAAAATCCTATATTTCTCAGGTATCGAGAATATCAAAAGTTATATTTTGGTGAGTTCCTATTTTTTTTGGTCGGATATTTAAAAAGTAAGACTACTTACGGAGGGACTACTTACGGAGGGATGGATTCTTTTCTTTACTAACTTCTTTTTTTTTTTAGGAGCGGATCTTTCGTCATTTGTGTTTTTTTTTTAATGATAAAATATTTGTAATAAATTTGAAAAATCGAAACAATCATAAAAAAAAAAGATTTTTGAAATTCGGAAAACCCTAAAATAAAAATAAGTATAGCCATTTGGGCGAAATTGGAGATCACTTGCCAAGATTGGCGAGTTTCGGTTATTGTCTGAAACCTGAAACCTGAAACTTGATAATATTAAAAAGTCACGTGTACTAATTGTGTATAAAATCCGGTTCACAATAGCTACATTTCTTTTTGCAACGATTACGTCACGACGATCGCATCAACTAAAACGTAGCTTATGGACAATGTCATATACATGATTTTTGCATTAATAACACTTGACATTATATCGCGACACCTATAAATTTTCGTTTAGATTTTAAAAAGCGAATGCCTTGTGGCCCTCATAAAAGAAAAGAACATTTGAAACGTTAAATCCTTTTCAATGCAATTAGAATGTTCTTTTTCATATTATAAAACTACTTAAAAATTTGAAAGAACTTTTGGGCAAAAAATTATATTGTTGTTTTCTTTTTTTAAAGCTATATGGAACTAGTCTTATGAATAAAATATCTTTTAATATTTTTTACAAATCATTTGCATCACAATATCTTCATTGCTTAAAAGTGTAATAGAGGTTAATATATTGGAAGTTACATACAATATCCCAACCCTCGATGTTGACCCGCGTCTCAAATCATATTATCAGATGACAGCTTAAGAAATTCTCCTGGACAAGACCAACGAAAAATTTTTAATTGGATTGAACTGATCAAGAAAAAAAATTATTTGAACTCTCAAAATCTAAAGCTAAATTTCTTGACAATAAAAAGTACACAACTGCAATTAAAAAAAAAAAGGACGAGAAACACTTTCTGCACTATCAAATAAGTCTATACACATGATTCAATCGCTAAATATGACGAACCATATAAGAAATGAATGGCCCATACTTTACTGATTTCTTAAACCACTTTTTGAGCACTATATAAATCAATGACAAAATTAACACAACTACAAATATAGCATATCCTAATGATTGGAGGATCATCAAAAGCATCTGCTCACTTGAAAGACATTAAGATTCGAGGCATTGCGACCAGCAGGTGTAGGTGTATTATTATATTAAATGGTGCCGAAATCTCCTTATCATATTGCAAACATTTTCTGACATACGATCATAAGAATATAACGGTAGAATCAATCTTACCTCCGTGACATAGACTACTGCTCTTGCTAAAGTTGCATTTTGTGATAATACACCTTCTGTCCGTGCTACACGTGTCCATAAACGAGCCTAATATTAAAAAACCCTTGAAAAAATATAAGATAAATAAACAGGTACTAGACACCGATGAACCGTTGTTCCTATAATTTTTTATCTTTTTTTAGGAAAAAGCTTAATGCTAAAGACAACGTACATATTCTTCATGCATCCATACTTCGCATTTTTTATTCCAGGGAATGATGTCTTGAGTGATAGATACCTCACAAATGATTCTCGCGTGAGCACGACCCTATGTAAATATAGAATTAATATTAGGAAAGTAGCCAGGAAAATATTATGATAATAAGAAACAAACTCAAAGTACATTCACATCACTAGCGGGAGGACCAGCATACTCTGGATTCTGAATTAATGGTTTATTTTGTCATAAGATTTACTTTCCCTCTTCGCTATTTCAATAATATATACGTTTCCACCGTCTCAATGAAATTTAGTTCGTATCGATCAAGGAAGATGTTATAATATTTCATTGCAACTTTCGATCCAGTGGATAATTGAGCGGATCTTTAAAACATGTGAGTTACCTATCTTCTCTTTGGAGCTTTTTTGGTAACTTTGGTAATTCCAGCCAAAACTTGAAGAAGGGAGACATTTTGAGAAGAGCAAATGTAAATAAAAGAATAAATGTATGAAAAAAAAAGATCAATATTTACATTCTTCGATTTGGTGATTCTCGGGGACAATGATCTTTTTTTTTTGAAAAATTTTTTATAACTGTTTAATAATATGATTTTTATAGTAATACTGGTTATTTTATATTATAATTTTTTTTTTTGAATTATCGTATATTTTTTAATAAATACTTTTGCTTAGGTGAAAATAATCTGGGTGGTGATTTCACCTAAAGAAAGGTGATTTTTTTTTACCCTGGTAATCATGCGATATCATCTCTGTAAAATTTGTTTAATTTGGCGCCCGAATGGCGCAAATAAATTAAGCAATATAGCAGAAATTATTTTTTTAAATCATAAAAAAGTTTATTTTTTAATCATATCAGACCCGTTTACCAGATTCAGAAAGTAATCAAGAATCTAATTTAGATAACACGTTAAATCATTTCTCCGAAATTTCGAGAACAAATTTTCTGTTATTATGTTCCTTATTCAAAAAGGTAATCAGTTTTTTTTTGTGTTGAATTATACGCAGAAGTGAAAGAATACTCCAAGAAATCTATAAATATTTTTTTTTGTTTAATTTGTTTGAGAAATTGGAATGATGTTACAATAACCGCAAAAACATTAGTCCAGAATTGGTCATTTTTTAAACAATATTTTCAACATCGAATGATTTATCCTTTATTGTTATAGCAATAAATAAATCAATTGTAGCAAATATTAACTGTTAAAAGATAAATAAAATGACACAACAGAAACGTAACAACATTCATGCTATCGTTTAACCATACGCAGCACCCCCGAAGCACCGAAAATTATTTGTCATCAGTAATGCATAATATAAATAACAATTTTATAGTAACCGTATCAATTGATGAGTGATGTTTAATGCGGTGACAAATAGATTCGGTCAAATGGCTTTCGGTCAAACGTACCGTAACCGTTTTAAAGGCAATGAATGACGAATAAATTAAACCTTTTCTTGAAAAAGTCAAAATGATTGTCAACTATAAGCAAATGATCAAGACTAACTTACGCCAAACAAGTTTTTTTATCAGATAATATCAAGATATAAAATGGTTAGTTTAGAGGTTGAAGAGAGAAAAAAAAGATGTTTGCGTTGCTTGCTTTTGTTGCTTGTTTAATAATTTTCGTGTATATTAAAAGACCTCGACTAAGCAAGGTACAAAATCAGTTGAATTCCGATATTTAGAATAAAATAGTAATAATCTATTTCCTATAGAATGAACCTCCACTTGTCCCGTATACCATTCCAGTGATTGGACATACATACGATTTTCTGTTCAATAGTGACAAGTTTATTAGGAAATGTATAAAAGAGGTATCAATAAATATTTCATCGCTGTATTGAGAGTGTTAAGATGTAAAATGCGACTTTTTTTGTTTAGTATGGAGAACCTTTTAATGTTATTGTATTTGGAAGGGTAACAACTGTTGTATCCCAACAATATTTATCCGAAGTTTTTAAAGCTCATGAAAGTTTTGATACTTTTGAAGTTTTAGAAGAGGTACGCAAAGGATTATGTAGCATTCATTTTAATATCCGTGCGAATTAAAAGTAAACTTGTCTTTTGATAAACAAACCTTTAAACATGTAAAAAAATTCAGTTATTTCCTATGCACTTGATCTTAAATCATGATTTAGACTTTAGTTTTCATGCCAAAACCGTTAGAGAGCAGATGAGCGGTAAATTAAAATATCATTTCCATGATATTCAGAAAAATATTTTGTATGGTATTGATAAATGGATCGGAGAGTCTAATGGCAAGTAAAGAGAAAGTTAATATTAATCAAATGTAATGTAGAAAAGTATAGAAACGTGATTCTTATTTTTTTTTTTTTTTTGTTAGAACCTAGAAATGGTTGGGACATAACGAATCATATCGTTGCAAAATCAGCTGCGCATACTTGCGTAGGAGAAGCAAGTATTTTAAAATGCCTCTTCTAAAAAAAAAAAATAATAATAATTTCAACAAAGAATAAAATAAATTGTCTTTTGATGGAATATAGGAAGCATCGAATCATGATGATATTACTCTCACTTTTACAACATTATCTCTTGAAATATTTAAAGCCTTTTCAATCCCTCCGATTCTTTCTTTCATTCACCCAAAATTACATGGATATTTAATTACGTAATATAATCTCATTTTTTGTTTAAAAAAATGAAAAATGAAAAAAAAGAGTATATATTAATAAAATTTTGGAAACATTTTTTTTTCAGGTTACCATTTTTAATAGGATTTAATCCAATAGCAAAACACAAAAAAATTCTCATAAATCGTATCAAACCTGTAGTCGAGAAACGAATTCAACAAAAACGAGAACTTGGCGATTTATATCAACCGCATGTATAAATTAAGTTTTTCCTCAAAATATAAAATAATTTGTTTTTTTTGTATCTTTATACTTACCAAATTTTTTAAAATTTGGTAGAATGATTTGTTAGAATTTTATATGTCAAATCCGGATTTTAATTCAACAAATGTGGATTATCAAAAATTGGCAAACTTGATAGCTTTTATTATTATTGCTGGTATAATAACCACGGGAAGAAGTGCCACAAGCCTTTTATATGGTATCATGAACGTTGGTTTTAATGATATTTTTATTTTATTTTTTTTGTTTTCACTTAAACGATCTCTTTGGAAATTTTTTTTTTTTTTAAAAAAAGATTATGCGAATGGACCAGAGTACTGGGATGAATTATATGAAGAAGCGTTAACAATTGATAAGGAAACCAACGGAGAACTTACAATTGATGATGTTGATAAAATGAAGAAATTGGATAGTTTTGTCAGGGAATCTCTTCGACATACGAGTGATATATGTAATGATTCATTCGAGTATTGTAACTTTCTATAAATTTTTTTTTTGTTAAAATATATATTTATTTGTTTTATTTAGTTGTTGTTCCTCATGCTGTCGTTGCAAAACAATTCACTTTTTCAAATGGCTATACGATTCCAAAAGGTCAGGAAAAAAAATTTTTTTTTTCTTTTTGACCAATAAAAAAGTGAGAAAGTAAATACAATTTTTTTTTTTATAGGTCGACAAGTATACGATTTTTCCGAAGGTTGTTTATTTTCCGAATCACAATATGGACCCAATCCAAAATCATTTAAACCATTTCAATTCCTTTCACAAAATGTATCGGCTACAAAGGTTGACAAAACTTATGTAATCTTTGGCGGAGGTCGTCATGCATGTCCTGGTAGATTTTACGCTGTCATTACTATGAAATTATTCTTACATAAAATCATGTTAAAATATAAAGTTAGAACTGAAAATGGCGGTGTAGCAAAAAAGAGATTTTTGGGACCTTTGGCTTTGCCACCTAAAGTCCCTTTGGTGTTTGAAAGGAGGGAGAAATAACAACATTTTTGTTTATGTATTTTGTTTATGTATTTATACTTGTAAACTTATCAATCATCTTTTTTTTTTAAAAAAAAAAAAATGTAAATGTTGAGGCTATGTGATCAATCAATCGTTATAAACATTTCTCTTTGCTTCATTGAACAATACTTCAGATCAATAAAAGCAAAGCCAAAAACAAAAACCAAAAAATAAAATAAAAATTTGTGCAATTAATAAAAAATTCTCCGCCTCTTTTTTTAATATAAGCCTAATTCTAACGGATAAAAGAACAAGTATGAATTAATATGTTCTCAATTCCCGCGCCTTGAAGCTGCGCCCATTTGCAAATTATTTGTTGACAATAAAAAAATTTTTTTTTTTTTTTTATTTCCACTTATTATTTATTATATAATTTACGTAACTTTCGATTCCTTTGACCAAGTTTTGTGTGACAAGGATGAATATGGAGAAAAGTATTAATTTAATTAACAGCGCCCATCAAAAAGTTAATATCAACCGTTTCCGTAATTTTTTGCCACTTTGATTTTATTGTATAACCTTTTTTTTTTTTTTTTTTTTTTTTTTTTTTTGATTGACTTTTTTTTCAAACAAAAGGATAATACAACAAATATAAAAATAAAATAAATATTTATATAACAAATAAAAGAGTGATTTTGATCCTTCAGAGAAAGAAGGTTTATATATAGTCTGTTGTTCATAATTGAAGAATGTCATCAAATGCGTCGCAGAAGCGAAGTAGCTTTGAATTTCAATCCGAAGATTCAATTCATGTAGGGATTAAACATCCTAAAATTACTGAAAGAAGTCATGACAAAAGGATTATCATTCTATTAATTATTACTCCTATCTGGACTTTACTGTTCACCTTAATCCCAATTTTTCTAAAATTTCAAGGTTTTGCCGCTGATATATATCGTAAGCGAGAATACGCAATTGATTTTTGGTTATTTATTAAAAAAAATCAAATTAATTACAAACCATTTTAGGGTACTTGGAACCTATGATTTCACTTCCGTTGCAATACTATATCATGGTCACTTCGGAAGTATTTATTGATCCTACACAATATGGTCGAAAATTTCGTATTTATCACTATTAACTTAATATATTGACATTATATGATTTCATTAACTTAATTAAATTTCTTTTTTGTCAGTATTTGGTTTAACGGAACGATCGTTCTTAAACATATGGTTTTTGATAGGCGCAGCGATTTACGCACAAGGTAGGACAATCCATCAAAAAAAGGTATAATTCGTTAAAAAAAAAATCATTGTCGTTATTTTTTTAATAAAAATGTAACTTCATTTCGTTGAAAAAAAAAGGCTCCGGAATTTATTCGACGGCAATTCTTGCCAAACACGCGATTGAAAATGTTTTATTACCAAATCCGGAAATCGTACAACAATATCCCAAATTTGATGAAGTAGCTTACTATTATCGAGAAACCCTTCAACATATTGTATGTACCCGAAAATTTTTATCGGTTTGTTTAAATCCGTAAAAATTAAAAGTAATCAACTTTTATAGATTGGACTTTACTCGTACGCGACGGGATATGTGATAATGACTTTGGCACAATTATTCGCGTACCGTAGACAGAAACATGATGGATTGGATTCACGTAAGGGAATCATCGGGTGGATATTAGGAGGGATTTTATTCGGGATATTAAATGCGTCGGTCGCAATTGAATTCCCTTTGGTAGTAATAATTTACATCCTTTTAATTGGAATTTCACTCACAATTTTCCTTCTCAAATCCAAGGTTATGTTTTCCAAGGGAAGAAGATTAGTGTTACAATCTTACTTAATTGGTTATGCTACAACTCTTGTGATTGTTTTAATTTGGATTGCCGCTGTAGGTGGATTTAAAGATAAAAAGTCCGTCGGACTATTTGTTAAAGGAGGCAGCAATTCTACTAGGAATTAACGTGTAAATAAATGTCTTGGAGCAAGACAAAAATTATTTATTACAATGTAAAGTCACATTATGAACATTGCTCGATAAAATTTTAAGTCGTACCATGGAAAGATCACAAGAAAAAGACACTTTCAACTAAAAAGTTACAACTAAAATTTTGATTTATTTGCATCTATTTACAATTGGTTTTTCTCCTAGCGAACCACATTTTTATATACAGGTAGGTTAGGTGTTATGGACTAGGATTATTCCCTAGTTTCATATGAATCAGACTGGTGTAATAATAACGGATCGCTTCCCGACCCGTCTATTTGGCTTAGAAAAACCAATTCGTCATGTGGTGGGTAACAGAATTGGGGATCAGCACCAACCGTCAAAGACGACGGATATTGTAAATAATGTTGCTGGTGATTTGAAAATGATGTTCCCGAAATGGTATTTTGTTGCGATTCCATTGTCATAATTGGCGTTGAAGGAAATATCATTTGTTGTGGTGGTAGGATCATAGGAGCGAAGGCGTTTTCGGGCGTAACCGCATACGGATTTGCAAATTGTTGGTAATATTGCTGCGTTAGCCCCGTGGAAAGATAGTGATCGATTTGTGATAACGTTAAGTCTGAAGGACCAATAAATTGTGGTAATCTCGTTTGTTGAGAGTTCGCTGTGTAAGTTGCATAAGTAGAGTGCAAAACCGTGGTTTCGACGAATTGTGGCGCAGCGGTTGCGAATTCGAATTGTGCCGTAGTATTTTTCTGCGTCATTATCTCGGTCGGTTGGTTAATGATAGTGGGAGATGGATATTGCGCATTGCTACGCCTTCTTGGTTGAATTTGTGCCGTTCCTTGAGATATCATTGGTACCTCGGCCTCTTGCGAGATCATTTTATGATGTTCCTGTTGTGCTCGTTGTTGATTGATTAACCTTCCTTGGTCAGTTATTGAACGCGTAATGTGTCTTGTAATTAGCGCACTTTCACTGGTCACGATCGTAGATGGTCTTCCACCCACATACGACATATCGGACGCGTGAAAATCTTGTTTTTTATTAAAAAAAATATTAGGTGAGGTTTAAAATTCTTGAAAATTTTAAATGATTGCTTGCACTGAAAAAAAATGATAATAATAAATTTACCTGTCGTTTGACTTTGTTCAAAAGAATTATCATTATAAGATGGAGTTTCGTTGATATCCGATTCAAGAATTGAAACTGGAGACGGGTGATTTGAAGAAGGAGATGTCTCTAAAGTTGCAACATTTTTAGATTTTTGAAGTTCAGTGACTGGAAAACTATTACCGTCAATATCATTAGGTTTTTTCCTAATGGGACGGTATACATAATTTTCGTAAGTTTCCGAATGTTTTAAACAAACGATTTGACATAATATCATCCAAAACCCATGTTCGTGTTGAGATAATTTCACCGATCTCCAAAGAAAACCAGCAATTTTAGAGGAATAATTTACATTCCTTGATCTTTTGTCCATGCATGAACCTTTTAGACCATTTTTATGATTTAGCATGTATAACCCCTTTGAGACATCTTTACGAAATAGAATATATCCATTTTGGGGTCTTGGAGTTCCTTTTGCTCTTGAATTAGTGGCAGGTGCCAATAATTCTGGTAAGGTCAAAATTGTTTTAATATCAGAATATCGATCAAATATTTTCTCAAACAATTTTTTAACGATAGGACTTTCTTTCTCTTTATTTAACAGTAGATGCTCTTGATCCTTCATTGATGTTTTAAGCTCATCCAGCATTTTTGCTACAATTAAGTTTTCAGCAATTGTTGGTGAAGGTGATAGAGGTAGCAAAGGAGTGGAAGTAGTAGCAATGGTTGGTATTGGCGTTACTTTATCAACGCGTCGATGACGACGAATTGAATTGTTGTTTGACATATTTGTTTCCTTTTTTTTTTGTTTTTTTAAAAAAAAATGAAAAATTGAATGCGCGATATTGATGTTTTCCAAGTTCAATTGACGGATGCAAAATTTAAACGCAAAAACCAAGAACCACCAAAACTGTTGTTAATTTTGCACTAAATGGAACTGTAATGTGTTGATTTATTATGAGAAAATACGACCAAAGAAGGAAAATGGAAAAAAAGGTTGAGAAATTTTTCCGGCACAATGAACGTAAAAAAAAAAAAAGGGATATAAACAAAAATAAATAAATAAATGGTTTGACAACTTCGTATCGTTGAAAAGCAAAGATGGATGTTGTGTTTTTCAAACCAAACTCGTATCTTTTTTTGTTTTTACTTTCTTATCTTTTTATTTTTATGTTTTTTTTTTTTCAAATATAAAATTTTTTTTTTAAAAAAAAAAAAACTATTCGTTGATTGATAAATCGATTTATAGAATGATCAAAAAAAAAATAACGTGATACCCCTAAAAAAAAAAAGGCTTTTAAGAACTTCCTATAATAGTAATGATATAAAAAAAAATAACAAGTTACAAGTGATGAATGAATTCAAGAAGGATGAAAAGAAAAGAAAGAATTGAATCGGATCATAAACAATTTAAAAATGAAAAAAATATTTATTTATTTAAAAAAAAAACGCAAATCACTTTATTTTCCCTCATAGAAAGTTTATTTTTTTTTTGAGGTGAATCCTCGTTTCTTTATGAGGAATATAAGGTAATCCAATCCTTATTAGGACAAAACCACGCATTACGATAAATAGTATATCTTTAAAAAAAACGTTGGAATGCTCAGATTGACAAATGATTTACTTACATAATCGGCGTACTATTATGTAATATTAACAACAATGGGAATCATGCATATAATCTTTTTAATAACGGTATAAGAAAGAAAAAATAATATTTTTGTATTATTTGTGAATTGAAGCGTTCGACACGTGTCAATTACAGAAAAAATTATATTTTTTTTTCTTGACAACGGATTCCGATTAAAAAACAAATCTAATCTATCGTAAGACATAAATAATAATATGGTTAAAGACACGAGGTCTTTAGAATCTTTCATGTAAATCATCGAATGAGCACTTTTTTTTTGTAAACAAACTTTATTAGCACATTATAAATAAATGATAGCGTGTAAATGCGCTCGTCGCGAAAGTTTTTCCCAAAAAATCTCAAGAACGTCAATTTCAAAACTTATAGTGAGCACGTAATTAATGAGTCAGGACCATTTAATGTTTTTTTAGAAATTTATTTTTAATATATTGACTAAAAGATGTAATATAACATTCTTTCCTTTCCATATAAGATAAAAAAAAAAGCAACAATTATAGCATTGCAATTTCTTCAACGAACAACAGAGAACCGAAAGAAATAACATAGACCAAATCATATTGTAGCACATGATTTTCCACGTGATGTAAGTAGTAAAAAAAAATTTTATTAAAATTCATGTTCAGATCATACGACCCATATAATACAAAGTAATACATGTCTAATAATCTGAGCCAATAATCTAAATCTCTTAAGATGACCTTTTTTTCTGAAATAAAAATCTGCTATAAAATAATTTAGCCAATCATGTTACGTGAAAAATGGCAAAAAAAAAAAGAAATCGGGTTCGATACACAAAATTCATTCGATACACAATATTCTTAATAAAGCAATGATCATTTTTTAATATTTCATTTTGCGTTAAGGCAGTGATTTTATTATAACCCCCGGTAAGATATTCTAATCACGTGAATGCATAACATTTTTTCTTATATAGAATTCATATATCAGTTGTAATAAAAAATATATCAATATATTGAACAAAAGGTAATCATCACTAAAAAAAAAATTGAACAAAGGTAATAAATAAGAAATCATGATACATTAAAATTTTATTATTTAAGTGACTTATTTTACATTAAAAAATTGTTAAATATTTTCTAAATGCTTAAAATTATCAAATTTCATGTTTTAAAAATCAAAAGTGTTCTAAAATCCTTAAGTTTAAAATTAATTCTAAATTGTATTCTAAAATCAAGTACTCTAAAATCATATTTTAAAATCAAGTGTTCTAAGATCATATTTTAAAATCAAATGTTTTAAGTCATATTCTAAAAATTATATTCTAAAATTAAATTATGATTGCTGATTCATATCTCGAGGATTTCATAAGCTATAATAATCATACATGTTACTGTAGAATTTTGCATTTACAAAAGAAACTTTGAATTATTACAGAGCTTATTGACGCACTCAACTTTTATGTAAAAATTTGTTTTTACTCTTTATAAATAGTTTCACAACTCTTGAAAAATTTAACCAAGTTACCTTTTCTATTTCACTAAAAAAACACATTAATAGTCTAAAATAAAATGTCAACCCTTTTTATTCAACCTTAAATTTAACAAAAAACTGATTTATAATTCACTAACAAATAAATTTCAGGAATTTTCCAATGCTTATATATATAGTATTATAGTTAAGACAAGAAATAGTACTCCTATCTGTGCTGATATCTGTTGTGAAGTAATATAAGAATGACATAAAATTAAGAATAAAAATAGGTCAGAAATAGATGATATAATTAGAAGTTACATGACTACACTATTTAATTCTTATGATATACAAATAATGAGACCAAGATGTCTTGTATCTAGAGAAAATCCAGCTTCTCCTTTTCCTAATTTTTCTGCATTTCATTTAATAAATCCTGCATCAAAAATCTCTGTGAATGCATTAGTTCAAAAAAAGTAGCAAATGAAATAATAATAGCTAAAAAAACTTATTAAATTTGAACAAATCTATAATTCACAACTGACTCTCAATTTTGACATAATATGTATATAAAATAAAGAATCTTTGAGCTAAAATTAAATCAAATAGAAAGAGAATTGTTAAATTACAAAAAAATATGAATTATACTTAAAAAAGCAAAAAAAAAAGAAAATACTTATTAAAATCAGAAAATAATACAATATGATCGACCTAATCATCCTTCACTTCTTTTTGAACATTTAAATTTATATAATCATATTTACGATTCGATCAAGTTTCAATCTGCTGATAAAAAATGAAGGAAAGAAGTAGTTAAAATACAGATAATTAAAAATACGTAAAAATTTTGAGGATAATTATAATGTTTATATGACACAAATAACATCAAATAATTACTTGCTACTTTGCTAAACAAACTCAATTACTGCAAGTATATATTATCATCTAGCATGAGTTGCAGCAGCTAGGGTAGGGTCTCTTGTATAAAAATATGAAATTATCCTGATAGACATTATTGCTTTGCATCTGTTAAATGTACAAAGCAATTTACTTTCTATTTGCTAAATTAAGTGTTGTTATTTTCCAAAATAGTATTAGCAAATGTTTTAGTTATATCAAAATTTTTTAGATCATATAGTCATAATACTATATTATATTATCATAAGGTTATATAAAAATCATATGATATATCTAATTTCTGCTAGCATTATAATGCACAAATTCATTTTATTTAAGCTATATAATAATACATAAAGGCAATAAATTTGTGTAATATATTTTAAATCTAAAAATTGAGTTTTTAAAACTTTATGTAATATGAACTATATGAATTACCTTTTATGAAAATTATATTTTATAATGTAAGTCTGAATAAGTCATATAATAAAATCATAAGTTTTAGACCTTTCAAAATAATAAATGACTTATAACAAAGTCATGTAAGTCATATAGGTAAAATTGATCAGTTAGTCTTTCAGTTCTGAATGGTCTTGTTTAATTTTTGAAAAAGTTATAAGGAATATACTTTTGAAATTTTGAGGCATAGCAAATATAGCTAAAGATCAATACATGTCAAAATTTGGCCTTTATACTTTTTTTTTTTAAGACCAGCAGAGGCAAAATTGATAAAAAACTAAAAAATCAAAAAATACTGGTTTTGGTAAAATAAAAATTTACCTAACTCTAAATTGGGTAATTAGATTAAGACTAAACTTTACTATTTTTCAGTCTTTAATTAGTTTAAAAAATTGGGAGTACAGTCTTATTACTTTTCTAAAAATTTCCTAAAGACCGATCAAGACTGATTAAAGACTACAGGACTAACTGATTATCTTTACATATAGATCATATGACATTATTTGCTAATACTGTCCCAAACGATAAAGTGAAGATTATTTTAAATATACTTATAATAGGTCAAATATTTAATATATTACAATTGATTAACAAAGCCATAAGTGTAGCAAATTATGATATTTTTGTAGAATTTATTCTATCAGTTGATCTTATGATCAAACTGAATAAAACAAATAATGAATTATGAATGTGTTAACTTGTTATTTTTGTATATTACTAATGATTATTTGGAATATCTTTACTTGCATATATGCAAGACCTTAAATATCTCATCCAAAATACCAAGTAAATAAGTGCTTAAAATTAATGGAGAAATTCAATTGATCTGAATGCTATTTATGAATAGAGAATTAGATGAAAACTCTAGGTTTTAAAGAATATAAAATTTTATAGTCAGCTTTTTAAAGAATTCAACTTTAATTATATGAGTGTACGATACTCCAGAATAGTTTAAATATAATCCTATTAAAAGTAGCATAATGACACTATCTAATAAGCTAGCAGGTATTATACTATTAATCAATCACTTTGTAATGCATTTAAATACGTAAGACAATGGGGGATTCTATATCGGTTGATCAACAAATTTAAGTGATACAATAATGTAAATTTAATATATGCGGATTTTTTCGCAAATCCTAATGAATATATGATGATTTTGTACCACCACCGTTACAAAATTCAAAAAAATTTTAAAAGAATTTTTTTAGTTATGCTCAACACTATGTTAT